TACAACAGTTCACTTAGCGACCATTCAAAGTTATAACCACACTGAAAAAAAGTGACTTATTACCATTTTTCACACTTGTGACCATTTTAGCATCCCCGTGGTCATGTCATCAAAACTTGAAACACTTGGCAACTGGCACGTATTTAGGACAGTCACAATGTCCCGGGGTCATGTGATCCCTTTTTGCGACCTTCTGACAAGCAAAGTCAATGGGGAAGCCAGATTCACTGAACAACCGGATGATTAACTTAACAATTGCCATGATTCAATTAACAACTGTGGCAAGAAAAGTCGTAAAATGGGGCAAAACTCACTTAACCAATGTCTCCCGTAGCAACATAAATTTTGGGTTCAATTATGGTCATAAATCGAGGACTGCCTATAGTGGAATTCTTAAAAATAAATAAATAATGCATTGTTTTCACCATCAATAGTCTTTCAAAATAATCAAAAATAAACACATTCCAGCTGAGAGGAAACCCTGGACTTTTTTCAAAGTTTTCCCACAGCCAACACATCTTTAAGAAATGCTATACAAGTAGACTTGACTTACAACAGTTCATTTAGTGACCATTCAAAGTTACAATGCCACTGAAAAAAAGTGACTTATGACCATTTTTCACACTTGTGACCATTGCAGCATCCCTTCCCAGCATCTCGAGTTATGACAGTAATGGAGTCTGTCCATGTCAATCGTAATTCACGATGTTTTTTAAGTGGGTTGGTCAAGTGATCGATAGGTAGTCCTCGACTTAACGACAATTCAGCCCCAAATTTTTGTGGCTAAGTGAGACATTGGTTAAGTGGAATTTTGCCCCATTTTATGACCTTTCTTGCCACAGTTGTTAAGTGAATCACCGCAGTTGTTAACTTAGTAACATGGTTGTTTAAATGAATCTGGCTTCCCTGTTGACTTTGCTCGTCAGGAGGTTGCAAAAGCTGATCTCATGACCCTAGGACACTGCAGCTGTCATAAATATGAACCAGCTGACCAGGCATCGGAGATTTGATCATGTGACCGTGGGGGTGCTGCAACGGTCATAAGTGTGAAAAACGGTCCTAAATCACTTTTTTCACTGTTGTCGTAACTTCAAAGTCACTAAATCAACTGTTGTAAGTTGAGGACTTCCTGTATTCTGGAGATCGTCATCATCATTATCATCTTGCAGCCTGACCCACTCACACTTCAACATGTCCTTGAGAAGTCCTGTGGAATTCTTCGAGACAAAGCAGGAGTCACTCTTTCTTCAACTACGACATCTTCCACAAGTGGGAAAACGTCCAGAAAACATGTCAATAGCACTTCCTTTGCTTGCTAATTGACAGTTCTTATTATGGTTTGATTTCTGCCAAACAGAACACATCTATCTATAGAACATTCCTCCAGAAGTCTTGAAGATGATTTAGGGGAGAAACTTGACAAGCATCGATGTTCTTTTCAGTGAGCATGGCCTTCCCTTGAACTACAGTCTCATTCCTTCCATTTTTATTCAGGTTTTTTTTAATGGCAAACTCCTGAAACATGACTTATTCAAGATAAGAGAAACCGGCAGATCTCTGGATGTTGTTCTGGGTTTCTGTACGGTTATGCATTGTGCTTGTGGAGTGGTTTTTAATAACTCACACAATTGGTCTTAGTTATCCCTTTAAAATGAATCGGCTGAATTGAGGGACAAGGTAATGACTTTTTCACACTGGAACAATGCATTTAGGAAGATTTGATTCATGAAATTTATCAAAGAGACTACAATTCAGTGCTGTTCGTTCAGGCGAGTCGGAGCTTATTTTTTTGCAAAAGTTCAGAAAATCCGAAAGAGGCGAATACATGTTCCCCAAAATTTTATAATCCTTAGCTCTTTTCCTTCTTGCAAATTTTGATTCAAACTAAACATCTTAAAACCAGGGAGCTTATGCGGTTTTCGAAAGTCCTTGGTTACAGTGCCAAATTTAAAAGTGTAACAAAGCCCAAAGTGAAAACAATAAAATATACAGAGAGTGATTACATTAAATCGCACACATCCACATCCACCACCCGGAGTTCAACTTGATTTGAGAAAGACACAACTTTTAAAATTAGTTTTGACTTAAAAGTACTATTCATTTAAATTTCTCTTAATTCCCCTGCTTTTGGAGGGAATGCACACTGAAACAAACTTACAGCACCTGCCTGAAAGCACCCTTGTTCTAAATTTTATAGTTTATTTCTATAAAGTAGTCATCTCTAACTTAGCACTGTCCGGGTTGAGTATTTCTCAAACTCTGTAACTTTTAAGATGTGCTGGCTGGGGAATTCTGGGAGTTGAAGTCCATCCATCTTAAAGTTGAAGAGTTTGAGAGACTTGGCTGACATCCCCAGAATGCTCCGGCAGACTTTTGCAGATGTGGGATTTTTTGGGGGGGAAGGAGGGGCGCCTCTAAACCAGTCATAACTCCTAGTGCCTGCAAGTCCCTGCAGTTTTCTTGGCAACATTTTCAAAAATGGTATTTCTTTGTCTTTTTCTTTGTAAGGCTGAGAGAGAGAGAGAGAGAGAGAGAGAGGAGAGAGGGAGAGGGAGAGGGAGAGGGAGGGAGAGAGAGAGAGAGAGAGAGGGAGAGGGAGAGAGAGAGAGAGAGAGAGAGAGAGGCCCAAAGTCATCCAGCTGGTTTTGTATCTAAGGCAAGAGTGAAATTTAAGAGTCACCTCAGCTTCTACTTCACTGCCTTTAACCACTAAGTCAAACTGGCTTCTCGTCTAGAGGGTGGCATGTTTTTAAGTGGTATGAGCTGTACTAGCAATTCAAGGTCACCTCGGTATTTTTATGCTGGATAAAAATACAACCGAAATACCACATGTACAATTGGGATATATAAGCAGCTACAGACAGAGATGGAATGATATGCAGGCATAAATGTAAAATTGTAATGTAACTGCAGGTTAGACCGCAGAGTCCTTTTTAACCCGAATCTAAGTTAATCTTCCATATTCCTCCTGCCTTTATTATTTTTACAAATACTAAAGGCAGCAAACCTATCTACAAACTTAAAACACCAATGTCACATGTCTGTTTACTGGAAAGAAAGTAAGCCTCCTTCAATTCAATGGCACCTTTGAGTTAACAGATTGATTACTGCGATGTAACTTTATCACATGCATTAGAAGGGTATTCTAAGTAAATAGAGCTCTAGAAACACGTTAACAAGAAAAAATAGAAAGAACACCGGCAAGGAAATCAGATTTCAGTAGAAATATTGGTAATATATCAATAGAAATATTGGTGAAACCATCATAGTATTTATTTATTTATAAAATTTATAGGCACCCCATCTTGCTTGAAGGTAACTCTGGGCAGCTTACAATTATTAATAACAATACATATTTTTTTCCATTGGCTTCGTATTTGGGCTGCAATAATCTGGATGCGTTCATACTTTCTCTTGTCTGCCATCCATGGATCATCTGGAATTCTACAGCCCAGATACGGTGCCTCTTACTCTTTTTAATCAGGTTTAGTTTGCAAGAAACTAAGCAACCTTCAGAGGGGGAATGATCACTTACACAGAGCAACAACCCTAAACCCGTGATGGCAAATCTATGGTATGTGTGCCAGAAGTGGCACACAGCGCCCTCTCTGAGGGCACGCAAGCCATCACCCCAGTTCAGCTCCGGCACGCATGCTCCCGCGCCTCCCGCCAGCCAGCTGGTCTTTGGGTCTCTGTCGCGCATGTGCGGGAGGTGGGGTGCGGCCTCATACGCATGCATGGGGGAGTGGGGCACGTGCAGGGGGCCACGCACACATGCGCGGGGGTGGGTCACATGCATGGGGGGGCACACACATTGTATTTTGGGGGTTCAGGCACATGTATGCGCTTTGGGCATTTGGTCTGGAAAAGGTTAGCCATCACTGCCCTAAACTCTTTCAAACATTCTGACCAGATCCCAGTTAAAGTCAACTGAAGACTCAGATTCACTGTGACCTCTCTCTCTCTCTCTCTCTCTCTCTCCCTCCCTCCCACCCACCCCCACCTCCACTTACAAAACAACTTCCAGAAATAGCAGTGTTCCCCCACTCTCCCCCCAAAAAAGTCAGCACACTCAGCAATGAAGCCCTGGTGATACGAGTCTACTAAAAATGAGGTGAGAACCGCTTACAGATCCTGGATCCATCCTCTGAAATAAAATCATGTAGCAACACATATGTCATACCATTCATACACTATCCAGGACACATCGCAGAGGCTTATTTTCCAATTTTGGCTGCCTGAGAGGCCCAGATCTCTCAGTGGCTTAGATGAACTTCTCATGACAACTTGGAAGGATGATCCCTTCCCTTTCCTTAATCCCTTTCCCTAATCCCGAAAAGCTCTTTCGCTTTTTTCATCTAAGGAAAGTGCAAATGCAAACAGCTGGAGAAACACCTTTTCTCCTCCTCTCTCACTTGCACAATTGCTCGCATCACACCACCCGTACTGGTATCCTTAAACCACTCACACCCGACTCTCCAACCATCCAGTGGTGCAACGTTCCCCAAATCAGGGTCAATGTTGACAATCGAGCAAGGAAGACGAAATGTTTCCAAGCCACCGAGGAGAAGGAGGTTGGTGGTTCTTGCGGACAAAAGATGCAGGTGTTTTTAGAGGCCTCTCGCCCGTTTTCCAAGCAAGATTGACAAACACAAAAAGAGTAAGAGGCACCCCTTTCCCTTCAGATCGCCCCCCCCCAAACGGGGTTTAAGGAAGAAAGCAGAGGAGGAAGGCGGGAGGGAGGAGAAAGAAACAAGAAAGAAAACCAGGCAGACGGCAAAGAAATTCCAGACACGCCAGCGTCAAGATGGCGTAGAAACAGCAGGCCTCTGAAGAGAAAATACCCACTCTTCTTTCTCTCTTGCGCACCCACTTCTCTGAACCTCCAAACCCCAAATCATTGAATTCCCCCCCCCAAAAAAAAACCAGGAAATAATGCTCTTAGAAAAGCAGCAATCAACCCTCCACCCCCTGATCGAGACCCCAGACTCAAACAATACCTGTTTTTTCTTTGATTTCACAAAGGACGGTGAAGAGAGCCGGTTTCATACGGTGACAATTCAGCGTGTGTTTCCTGCAGTTGAAACAGTGGAAGAAAGAGAGCAGATAAAGCCATTTGGTTCCTTTTCTGTAGTTTCATGAAAAAGGAGAGAATCGCTCATAGGCCTCGCTCAACTGAATTAATCCGTTTCCACATCTAGCAGAGTTTCTCTCCCCCCCCAGCAATTCCCAATGTAATTCCAACATCCGGATTTCCCCAGCAATGGAAAAAAAAACCCCCATGCATTTCCTTCCATTATGGAACGGTTTGTCCAAATGATGGGATACGTTCCACGGGGGCGCAGCGAAACGGCAAAACTTTTTCTTTCAACAACTTTTTCATAACCACAAAATAATAAACTCTATATTCATCGCCTGCCAGGTCTATACAGAGGAGCAGTAAAATCCAAAGTTTGAATGTTGTTGCAGCTTTTGATGTTTTTATCCATTTTTCTGCTTGATTTAATTTATATATATATATATATATATATATATGCAAATACTCTACTTCCTGATACAAAAGGGCCCTCTGTGAAATAAGATTCTCCCTTTTGCATACGTAATTCACCCCAGTTCCAAAGAGTAACCCAATACACAAAGTATTGTAATTGGTTTTTTTTTTTGGGTAAATTAAAACCATCTAGAAAGAGAACAAATATCTGAATCTTAGATAACATTGCTGCATACAAATACATCTTTAAGGAATACCCCCAAAGGGCTAATTATCCCCAAAATGGAGGGTAACCACACTCAAAATTATGAACCTTCCACACTAAAACACAACTTTTGCAATCCAAACTAAAAATCTTAAAATCAAAAGCCTCTTTTCTCTTCAGAGTCTTACAAGCTTCAGTGCCCAACAATTCAACGTTAAAAACTCCTCGTGCAGAGCCTGCTATTCAATTTACTAGGACTCATATTAGATTTAATAGACACAAAGCCACAAGTCTTAGTAAAATACACCCTTGAGGAACCATCCAAATATACCATACTCCTTCTTTTTGGCTGGCACATCACAAGAGTTAAGTAGCATAGCGGAGTACTCTCCACTCACAGCAACAATCCTAATTAAAAAACAAATACCTTCCAGGAACTGAAATCCATCTTCTGAAGCAAACTAATGTACTACAAAGCTCTTCACACACAACAGAGCTTCAAAAAACATCGCAGTAGCCATGCCTGGCAAAAAACGGCATCATGGCAAAACAATGGCTCTTTAAAGACTGCCAGGAAATAAACTAGTTTTAAAGAAAACCGCAACCTGAATCCACCCAAAGTTAAAAATTCGGAAGTTGCAACCTTAATACCAGGCCAGGGTTACACTCCAGATCAGAAGGTACACATGCAAAAAATTACCAGGTATAAATCATCAATACTAAAATGTAACCAGAGAAGCTCTAATTCTCCACCAGAAGAGGAGAACTGGATAGATATAGGCACAAGATGTTTAGAAAGAAAATTGTGTGGAAAGTCAAGATGCGGAAAAGAGTGTGAATGGTTAATTTGGAGAAAGAATCCCATATTTTTTTTTTCTAATCAGCTCTTAGATCTTAAATGCTAAGGTTTCAATCCCTATTTATTTCTCCTGCCGTTTCAAAACAGATCCACTCAATTTTTATATCTGTATCTAAATCAGTGGTGGGATTCAGCCAGTTCGCACCACTTCGGGAGAACCGGTTGTTAACTGTCTGAACAGCTTTGCAAACTGGTTGTTGGAAGAAATCATTAGGGCAGAGAACCGGTTGTTAAATTACTTGAATCCCACACCACTGATCTAAATCCTATTTTACAGTTTCCTCAAGCCCGACAGCTGTTTTTACTACTGCAAATATTTTCTACCCCAAATCGGTTTGCCTGCCCACCTAGATTGCATATAAAGCCCAAACCATTCTCAGGATCCCGTTCCCTCCTTCCTCTTTGTATCCTAAATGCCAGATCCAGAACCCTGCCTGCTTGCTTGTTAATCAAGTTTTTATGCCTCCTACCTACCACCTCTTCCCAACAATAAATAAAAACCAAAACTTGCTCTGTATTTCCAAGCCTCCGACCAAACTCCCCCCACCAAGTTCCCCCAAAGCGACCCCTTTCTTTGCAAAGCCCATCTCCCCCCCCCTTTTTTTAAAAAAAAAAGAATACCCCCTTCTCCAGAACTTCCAATTCTACTTTCTGCCCCAAAGGTGGAATTTGGTTTCCAGGAGCCGATCAAGCCCAGGTTGTTCAGAGCACCCCCTAAAAGTCGGGAACCCCGTCCCACTCCTGGATTTCCACCCAGTCTCCACCCAGCGCTCTTTTCCAACCAGCCACTCAGGGCAAAAAAAAAAAAAACTCGCGGGGAAGGCGAGCCGGCAAATTCACCGCAGGGCCTTCCAGATCCCCCGTTTCGAGAACTCGGCGAGGCTTTGTCAAGAGTTTGCACCCCTCTCCCGCCCGCACACACAAAGGGAGCCCTCCCGGCCCAACTTTCCAGGGCCGCCCCACTCTTCCCACCCCGCTCCCTTTCGCCCCGGCCGTCCAAAGACTCGAGAAGGAGAACCAACTTTGCTTGCGCTTCGTCCAAGCTTTGATCGGTGATGGTCATGATCTGCTGGAGGATGTCGCCGATATCTTGCTTCCGGGGCTCTCCGTTATCCGAAGGGGGCTCGTGGAGAGCGTGGGGGGTCATGGCTTGGACCCCCTGGACCGAGGGGTGCCCCGCGATCCCGACCGCCCCCCGCGCTTGGATCAGCCTGCCTGGATCATCCATGCTCGGCGAAGGGATTCCCCTCCCTCCCCGCGCGCGCGTCCGCGAGCGATCGAGGAAGCGATGGGGCTGGCTGGAGGGCGAGCAAGCGAGCCCCGGCGGCTGGAGGACGGGCGGGCGCTCCCGGCTTTGGCCGCCCGAGACGGAAGGGCGACGCTGGAGAAAGAAAGGCTGGCGCGCTAGTCCATCTTGGCGGTGCGCTCCCACGGCCCCTTCCTTGGAGACTTTGGGACTGGAAAATGGAGTCCCGCACAAGGGCTGGAGGAGGAGGAGGAGAAGGGAGGGGGAGGGAGGAGGAGGAGGAGCTGAGAAGGGGGAGGGAAAAGAAGAGAAGGAAAAAGGAGGAGAGGAGCTCAGTTTACCCCTTCCCCCCCCCTCCTTTCTCCTCCTCCTCCTCCTTCGGCGCCCCCTCCCCTGCTCTTGGTGCGCCCAGGCGGAGAGGCGCAAACTGTGCCTTTATCTATTTTTGCTGCCCTCCGCTGGCTTGGGAGAAGCAAAACGCCGGGAGAGACGCCGAACAGCCCAGCTTCTCTCCAGAGCCCACCGGCTTCCTCCCGGAGGCGGAGAAGCGCCTAGACGAAAGGAAAGGAAACTGAGGAGCCGCGGCGGGGGCCCTGTGCGCCCTCGCGGAGCGCAAGGCTGAAGCGCCTCAGAGTCAACGGATTTTCCGCGCTTGCCCCTTCCCGCTGGGACTGGGATCCAGTGAAGGGAATCTTTCGGGATCGCCAACTAGCAGCTAGCCTTCAGCCTTCCCGCTGGAGATCCCAAAGACATACACACACACACACACACAAACAAACCACAGGCACCAACACGCGCGCCGCCGCCGCCGCCGCCCCAAACTGTTTGCGAAAAGAGTGGCGCTGCCTTTGGCTTGGTGGAGTGGAGGGGACGGTTTTTCTTCATCCACCCAACCGGGGATTCGGCCCGCTTGTCGCGCTGGGCTACGGCTCCTTTATTTGCGTTTTTGAAATCGAAGAAGCCACCTTTGGCGCGGTGTGTAGATGAAATGGGAGCCCGCCCGATGTTTGTACGGTACGCGGCGTTTGGAGGGATGCTCTTCTGCCGGCGTTTCGCTTTTATTTATTTATTTTTAAGTCTTTTAACGTCACCACGCTATTAAAAAAAAAAAAGATGTGGGGACTCTAGAAAGAGTGCAGAGAAGAGTAACAAAGATGATCAGGAGACTGGAGGCTAAAACATAAAGAACGGTTGCAGGAACTGGGCATGGCTAGTCTAGTGAAGAGAAGGACCAGGGGAGACATGATAGCAGTCTTCCAATATACTCGAGGGGCTGCCACAGAGAGGAAGGGGTCAAGCTTTTTTCCAAAGCACCTGAAGGCCAGACAAGAAACAATGGATGGAAACTGATCACTCGACCTAGAAATAAGGAGAAATTTTCTGACAGTGAGAACAACCAACCGATGGAACAGCTTGCCTTCATAAGTTGTGGGAGCTTCACCACTGGAGGCTTTCAAGAAGAGACTGGACTGCCATCTGTCAGAAATGGTGTTCGGTCTCTTGCTTGGGGTGGGTTAGAATAGATGACCTACAAGGTCCCTTCCAACTCTGTTCTGTTAAATTTTCATTCGTGCTTGTATGCCACCCAAAGTTGCATTCAGTGAGATGGGCTCCCATATAGTTTTTGTTTTAAAGGTAAATAAGGTAAAGGTTCCCCTCGTACATATGTGCTAGTTGTTCCCAACTCTAGGGGGCAGTGCTCATCTCTGTTTCAAAGCCGAAGAGCCAGCGCTGTCCGAAGATGTCTCCGTGGTCATATGGCCGGCATGACTAAACGCCAAAGGTGCATGGAATGGTGTTACCTTCCCACAAAAGTGGTCCCTATTTTTCTACTTGCATTTTTTACATGCTTTCAAACTGCTAGGTTGGCAGAAGCTGGGACAAGTAACAGGAGCTCACCCCATTACGCGGCACTAGGGATTCGAACCACTGAACTGCCGACCTTTTGATCGATAAGCTCAGCGTCTTAGCCACTGAGCCACCGTGTCCCTTAAAAAAAGTAACTATAGATGGTTTTTTTAAAAACTATAGATGTACAGATGGTTTACATCTGTAGTTACTGGGCTGAGAGACATTTACCCCATGCATGCACAAACTGAAATAAACACATAATAGCTTTATGAGATGTGCCAGCCCAGGGACTATGAGGTTGTACATTGCACTAAACTGGATTTGGCTTAATCATAGTTTACTCGGTAAATTACAGTTGAGTGGGTCCACATAGCACTAAGGGTGTTAAACATGGTTTACAGACCAGACGAACCTAAACAACGTGTGTAGTTATGAAGCTTGTTTCCAAAACTGCAAAGAATTCCACTTGGTTAGAATCCTGATGATGTTACCTAGCTGGGTGATGAGAGGTTTGCAAGCAAACAACCAAGTTCAGAGAGCATCAAAGACTCCACAGTTCAAGCCTGAGCTGCAGATATTCTTTTCTATTCCAAAAAAACCCCCATATGCTTAGCATTTGCCCTAAATCCAGTTTTAAGAGTAGCGCAGCAGCTATAAAGATACACGTTTGCCAAAGCAATTTTTTTTAAAAAAACCCTGCATGAATGAAGTCCGCTAAACTCAAGTTTATAGTTTAAAACAATATTTTCGTTACCACCACCCATCTGCTTCCACTTATGACTGTAACTTTGTTGCTTGTATCCTTACGATTTATATTGATATTGTTTCCTGATTGCTTATTTGTACCCTATGACTATCATTAAGTGTTGTACCTTATGATTCTTGACAAACGTATCTTTTCTTTTATGTACACTGAGAGTATATGCACCAAGACAAATTCCTTGTGTGTCCAATCACACTTGGCCAATAAAAAATTCTATTCTATTCTATTCTATTCTATTCTATTCTATTCTATTCTATTCTATTCTATTCTATTCTATATAGCCTAATCCCATACAAGTACAAAAGAATCACAACATTAAATACTGGCTATTAAATTTAACAATTTTCTATATGATGGCTTTCATCATCATGAAAAAAAATATCAGGTTTCAAATCTTCATGTTTTTACAAGCAGATGTTAAATCCAAGGGGATAAACGCCAGCCTTCTGGAGGCTGAGAAACAAAACTGGTTGATGAGTCTAGGATAATTTTTGTATCAATGTATGCAAATCATTCCCGTTTTTTTTTTTTCTAGCACATGTAGCATTTGTACGATTCAAAAAACTTGTTAGGACAAAGGATTTGGATCATGTTAGGATTTGAAGTTTCCTGGCAGCTTACAACAGCAAAAACATACAAAATAATTGTCAGGAGCACGGAAACAGAACAATATGAGAGAGTTGATCAGAGCAGTAGATTTATTGCTACTTGCCTAGTTACTAGAATCTTGCTGGACTAACTGTACGCACTACAGAACAACTAGATAAAGACTCCAAGGGGTATATTTTGGGGTGGGGTGTCTGTTTTATGTCATTTCCTCCCTTTCAGCAATTCCAGGCTAGCCAGTCTCTTAACTGCTCCTTCCACTGCAGCTGCAGATTGCATCACATCGTAAAAAAATATAACCCAAGTAATTTAGTACAACTAAATAAGACTGTGATGGCGAACCTATGGTACGCCATAGGAACCATATTGGTGGGCATGTGAGCTTTGCCCTAGCTCAGCTCCAGCATGCACGCGCGTGCTGGCCAGCTGATTTCCGGGCCTTCTGGGCCCACTGGAAGTCAGCAAACGGGCTCTTTCTGGCCTCCGGAGCGCCTCCGAGGAGGGTGGGGAAGGCTGTTTTCGCCCTCCCCATGCTCCTAGAAAGCCTCTGGAGCCTGGGGAGGGTGAAAAACGGGCCTACCGGGTCCACTGTGCCATCAAATGCCAAAAATGGGGGAAGCAGGGGGGGCCATGCGCATGCACAGGTGGGGGGGCAGGGTGCATAGAATTATTGGTGTGGGCACGCACGTGCGCGACTCCCTCTGCTTTTGGCATGCCGTGGCAAAAAGGGTAGCCATCACTGAAATAAGACAATAAATAATGTAAGAACAGTGTCGAAACAATATATTGAAACAATGGATGCCAAGGGTTTAATTTCTAAAAAGTCCCCAGAAGAGAATATCTTTGGCTTAATTTTGGACAGCCATACCACGGGAGTCAAGTGCTCCTGAAAAGAATAGAACAGGATAGGACAGGACAGGATAGGATAGGATAGGACAGTGGTAGTGAACCTTTTATTCAGTGAGTACTGAACAGGTACATGGTTTGCACGCTTTGCACGCCTGTGTGCCATTCGTGCTAATGCACGGCTCCTCCCCCGTGTGCTGCATTCACAATCGCACCACCTGCACGTGTGTGTGGTTTTTGCATGCGCAATGCATGTGCGTAAATGCTGTCTGCGCATGCGTGCCCTGCGTGCAAGTACTCTCACGCATATGCACAAATACGCACGCATGCGCAGGAGAGCTCCGAAGACCAGCTGGGTCCCCTGAATTGCGCACATGTGGACCGGAGGTGCAAACACCAGCTGGGGCACGCGGGCATGCGCAGCTGCAGGTGAGTTGGGCGACAACTCGCATACTCGGAAAGATGGTTCTGCGTGCCACCTCGGTCATGCGTGCCATGGGTTTGCCATCACGGGGATAGGATAAGGATAGAAGGTAGGACAGGATAGAAAATAGGATAGGAATGGAATAGGGTAGGATGGACTGGAATAGAACAGAATAGAATAGAATAGAATAGGATTAAGAATGGAATGGAATGGAATGGAATGGAATGGAATGGAATGGAATGGAATGGAATGGAATAGAATAGAATAGAATAGAATAGAATAGAATAGAATAGGATTAAGAATGGAATGGAATGGAATGGAAATGAATGGAATGGAATGGAATAGAATAGGATTAAGAATGGAATGGAATGGAATGGAATAGAATAGAATAGGATTAAGAATGGAATGGAATAGAATAGAATAGAATAGAATAGAATAGAATAGAATAGAATAGAATAGAATAGGATTAAGAATGGAACAGAACGGAACGGAACGGAACAGAACAGAATAGAATAGAAATACAGAGTTGGAAGGGACCTTGGAGGTCTTCTAGTCCAGCTCCTTGCTCAAGCTGGAGACGCTATACCATTTCCAGCACATGGCTGAAATATCTTAGTCCCGAGCTGTATTGTCAAAAGTTGTAATGCAGTGTGCAACTGAGAGATAGTAGGGGTGTATATCAACAGCACTGCAATTTCCCAGGGAGGAGGCAGCACATTCCAGAGAGGGCCCCAGCACAAGAGACTGCACTGTCCT